GTGTCCATTTTTAAGTCCTTTTAACAATTCCAACACGGTCTTGACGTCACTACTCAATGACGCTACTTCTCTATTCAGGTTTAAAACCTGTTCATCTAGTTTCTGAACTGTATGCTTGGTATCGGATAGATCAGCAACAATGTCTGGCTCAGGTGATTTTAAAATCGTCTCCAGCGTTTCAATAGCCTCTTTTGTGCTATAAACGTCCTTGAAAATTTCCTCGAGGTTCCGGGTAGCTGTGTCGTCACTAAGTAGACTGTTCACGTGTTCGTCATGTGACGTTCCAAGTTCTGCTCTCCCATTGTTGCCAGGTAACATTGGAAGTCTCAGGCTTAAGTGCGGCTCCGAGAAACTTGTTCTCATTGGGCGGAAAAATTCTCCCAAGTCATCACCCTCTGGTATTTCTTCCTTCTCGTCAATGCAATGCGTTGAATACGCTCCAGATATGCTGGGTCGCCGCTGAAGACTTGAATAAGACGGAAAAGGCTGTTCAAAATGGTCGCCCAGGTCTTTAATAGAACCATACTCAGTGGACAAATCGTCAATCTTCTGGGACGGGTCACTCTTCAGCTCTTGCCGTGTAAATGAATGTTCTGAAGTTTGGGTCATTAGAGAGTCGGAGTCGCCATCGTTGTCTTCAAAACGATAATCACCGCACTTATTACTTGAACTTTGTCCCTGATAGTCAGCAATAATATTCTCCATGTTGTTGTAGAAATCATAAGTTTGATCCTCGGAATTATCTTCAGTATGATCAGAGTCTTCCTCCTTCGTCGCCTTTTCTAAGCAATTTCTGCAATTCAATCCTGGTTCTTGTTCCGCTGATTCACAATCACAAGTAATCGCGGATTCACGCACTGGTGGAACAAAATCCTTATAAGGACTATTGACGTTAGTTACCAGCGGTGCAAATATAGTGGGTGGCTGCATCACCGCTGAAACTTTTCTCCTCCTGGGGGATGAAAGTGGTTTCTCGTTTAATGAGCTGTTAGATCCAGATGGGGAGTTAAATTCCGTCATAGTGCGCCTCAATGGGCCTTTTCGTGCGAGTCCCCTGCGGGAATTATGGCCTTCCTTAAGACTCCCTACTGGCCTACATGGTGTCCCAAACTTGGAAAATGTGCCCGAAAATACATTTCGTGGACTTTTAGGTATTTCTTGATGAAGAAAACCTTCGGAGACTTTTGTGCTTTCGCCGGAGTTTTCTCGGTTATCCCTCGGGTCCTTTGAAGAAGCACCGGGAGAGATTTTTTTGGAACTGTCTCTTGGACTAGTAGGTCTGCTTTGTCCTAAGCTATCAGTTAGGCTGTTTCTGAATGGGAGCTCCGAAAACCCACGTTTAATACTTCCACGGGTGCTTTGTATAGGTGACACTAGAATGCTATGAACGGGGCTTCTGTTTGATCCACTGAGGACTGGTGAAGAGATAAAGGGCGAACTCCTTCGTGTATTACACATAGAGTCGAAATCAGTGTAGCCTATTCTCTCATTATTTTCACATGAGCGCCTCGGAGTATCATCATACTCTTCTTTGAAATGACTAGGCGTATGTTCATCGTTGTTAATTCCTGAAAAATTCTCTGTTTTGTCTTGCTCAGGAATATTTTCAAGATTTCCTTGCGAGTAGGGTAGCTTTTTATCCTCATCTTCAAGATCATAAGCTAAGTATAGATGTTTTGATTTATCTTTGCTTAATTTCTTTTCCTGTGCTGGCTTATTACTTGCCAGCGAGTAGTTATCACTGGACACGTTCCCAAAAGAATTATGATCTGCGAGAAGTGTATCTTCCTCATGGTATTCTTTGTCCTCAGCGATCTCTCCAAAAACACTCATTCCAGTTTCTCTGCTTGTCATTTCAAAACTTTCTAAATTATTTTCATTTCCCAGTAAGTTATTGTTAGTATTCAAGGCAAAATTTTCTTGATCCCACTCTAAGCTTGGGTTGGAAAGTGGTTCACTTGAAGATTTCTCCTCCGGTGAGAAGGCTTGACCACTATCCTTAACATCGGCGTTGATGTCAATTGAAAACTGACGATTTAGTGATCTTGGAGACTGGGGCATTGAAATGTTTTCATCGCTGTCTTCCTCTGATGGCAATTTAGATAAAAGTTGTTGATCTACATGATTTGCACGAGACTTGCCCTTCGAAACGTTGTTTTTCTTAAATCCGCGCCATAATTCCGAGGATTTAAAATGGTTCGGTTTTTTGTACATGTCAAAGATTTGCCCAGGTCTCCTATTTAATCGTCCCGAGTTCCCGTAGCAGTGATTTGATTGAAGAGTATAACTGACGTGATTAAGGCCACCATCAGCTGAGATTGACTCTGTTTCGTCCTCTTCCTCCTCTTCATCTTCTGAGATGGAATCCAGGCCTCCCCTTCGCCAGATGTCCCGCTAGGAAAATTGGCAAAACAAAATGATTTACCACTGTTAGTACTGTAATAAGCCATGACGCAATGTAGCCTCTCTTTTTTCTGTAAATTCTTTAGCTTTCACATTTTATGTACTCAATCAGAAATGAATCATCTGTTAAAATATCAAAAGAGATTTTTTTCAAGATGTAATACCACTTACTATCAAAATCAGATTTATTATCCCAGAAACACCACAAAGTCAACATTTTTAAACGAAATGTGTCAATGGCATATTCACTAATGTATTTTATGTCATATCAATTTTATCCCATGTCCACACTACGCTGGATAAAACGTAGCTTGATTAAATAAATTGACTGACTGTAAGGGCTACTTCCCATATTAAGCCCAGAGTATTTTTTTAAAATCGTGTTTCATAATGAATTAATAAGGTCCCGTCCACTCTAGGCTGGATAAATAAAATTGTGTTTTCAAGTACATCCAGTGTGGTGTGGACAGGGTCTTAATGCATACCATTGTATGAAGAGCCCCTTGCGATTGACGGAACCAATTACCGTAAATCCCCTTTTAGCTCCCGTCTCAAATAATCCCCTTCCCTCTAATAACTCCCCACCTCTTTCCAGGGAAAGAAAGTTAATAAGCCCCCTCTCTTTTAAGCCCCCCTCCCCTCCCCCTTATTATTGTTCACTGATAAATGATAGACTGTATCAATCAATCACGACTGTAAAACTTCATGTGGACTGATCGAGGATGGTTTATTCTCCAACTGGAGGTTCGTATTGTTTTTGATCCTCGGCTGCAGGACCTCTAACTTCTTGTACTTGAGCTTTTCCACTTTGTATTCTCGTTTTTTTTAATGGATAACTGATACCATCGTCTTTGCTAAATTAAGTAAGGCGGCACTCTCAATTAAGCCCTTCGTCTCTATCTATTAAGCCCCCCCTCCCCTCAAATGTGTTTGAAATAAATAAGCCCCTCGGGGGTTTAGAAGAGGATTGACAATATTCTCCTCCAAACTCTTGAACGTGGTAAATATGTACTTTTCCTTTCTCCGGTCGGTTACTACCCACCTTAATCCATCTCTAACTTTGTCAAGACTGTTGAATAATTTGAAATGGGTATTCAGTACTTTCCTCCTTTGGTCGGTGTATAACTCCAGAGGAAATAATATTACCTCAGCTCTCAAGCTAATAACACTCTACAGCGTATATTATACTTGGAATACCTATTTGACGATTAACAGTTTTGTTACTCTACGAAACGTGTTTTTGCTCCGAAATAGTAAAATGATAGATACATTACCTCGCTCGCTCCCAGATCGTAGGTTAGCTCAAGGCTCTCGGAAAACTTGAACGCGAAATCCTGGTAAAAGTGCAAAACATTCTGCATTCGTTCACGTGTTATAAAGTAAACGTCACAGTACGTAAGAGCTCTGACGTCACCATTAGATCTTCGAGCAGGTATCTTGCGTGATATGTCCTCACCAAAAAGGTCTCCTTTTCCTATAAAGCAAAAAAAATGATCAAATCCCTCAGACTGAATTTTTAGCGTTCCCAACAAAACTCTTTCCAAAAAGTAACTAGACAAGTGTACAAGTAGACAGTGGACTACACACGCGCGCTTCGAGCAGCCCCATAGCTAAGAAAATTTGGTTATCTATCCATTCAAGAAATTTTGGTAGTCACGTGACCGCACGTCCGCCTGACCGGCCGTCCATCTGCACCACAGGCTAACCAATGTAAAATTTCACACTTTCTAGCAATTTTGGGACCCTGTAACCGGCCGACAACCTGATATTGCACATCCATGTTGTGGTCAATTGACAGCTGTCAAAAAGGGGTATCTGCTAACCAGTATCACATGACCGTATCGCGGGCTCAGATGTCGACACATCCAGGTTACGTTTTTTTAAGTTGTCCGCTGACTGATCGCAGGCTCAACTCTTTGCAATTAATTGTTGCAAGTTTATTGTGTAAAGTAAATTATAAATTTATTAACGGGAGCTTCGCCTTTAGGCTAAATCTATATATTACCAGTATATAATTTTACAAATTCCCCAACAAACAGTTAAATGATATTGCCCTTTTGGGCAGAAGAGAACATGGAACTTTTGAACGTTTCGTTACAAAAGAAATTGAACAGCGGTCTTTACTACGAGGTCAATGCCGTCTACTCGTTAGTGTGTTTTAAGTGTTCCACTTGGCCACGTTCCTCTCTCCAGCTAGGTCCATACCAATGCACAGAGATGTAATCATGTGTCCCATTCAAGGTTTGTATCAATAAAGAATAGCAGAATCCAGGTTAAGGTGCACGCTTAACGAGTCGGCTGTCGCTTTCCCGGTGGCCTGAACTCTCTTAGCAAGCGAGCAATGCGAGAATGAGATGTACATGAGTCGCGTGCCTCAAAAACTCTGCGCCTTTTCATTGGTACTTGCTACTAAATAAATTAATTAGACTGTATGCTCCACAAAGCTACGTTTAAAACACAATGACATGAAAAAAAAAAACAACAACAAAACAAAAACAGTAATGAGAGAATTATTCTCCCAATTGCAACAACGCAATTAAGCTTTATAGCAGCAAATTTAAATAAACGAGTCCTCAGTTTCATCATCATATCCATTTTTAAAACGAATTTTACAGAATACAGCATGTTGTTGGGCGAGAAGACCTCAAGAAACTACCAGGCTTGTAGGGGAGGCCACCTCGACATCACAATATGATAAGAAATAAGCATCTCATAAACATCTTAATGGAATTTGAGCATGCGATTTGTTTTGGTAGTTCGTTTCAGAGTCTTAGAGCTTCAGTAAAAAAGTACTTTTCTCACATCATTTAGCTCAATCTTGATTTATTATAGTGAATAGCCAACAACTGACCTCTGTGCCTCACAACTGTGTTACGTTTTCACTCTTAGAACAACTAAAACTAACGCAAAAACTGTAATAGAATTACAATACTCTTACCAAGTATAGCAGCCACTGACTCTCCTTGGAGAACCTCCATCGAGCCATTTGCAATATAGTATATTGCATTGATGACGTCATTTTGAGCCAGCAATACTTCCCCTGGTCCAATATAGACTGTGCGCACCTGAAGCGAGAGCATTCTAAGGCAACCGCGGGGGGCCTGGGAGAAGGAGCTGAGCTCAAGAAGTCCTTTGTACAGATGCATACACACGTCAGACTGGAGTTCATCAGGAAATGTTGTGAGAATCTTCGTGGAAAAATCAGAAGCGAACTTATGGCTTAGTTAATTTTGGCAATGGCGTCTGGCATATTAACGTATTAGAATTGCCTTACTGAACTAAATGGTGGGATTCCTTTATCTAACTAACTAATCCTATACTAGTTTGGTAACAACAGTTTACCTCACCTTGGGCTACTCCAAAAAGTTCAGACAGGGGCTCAACCCGGAACCCTTGATACGGACTACAAGGTATTAACCACCGCCTCTCCCACAGTAGAGACCTTACGATCCGACAACGGCGACGTGAAATGAAAACGTCACTGAAAAAATAGACTCCACATCCTTTTAAACCAATTCGCGACTTTCTCAGGTCGCCCTTTCACTTAAAAGAAGGGGATTTATGTTGGAACTGGTAGAGGGGGCGGAGCCCGAGTTCAGACAGAGATGGTAGAATTTATCGCCTGGCCGTTCCCGTCCTCAAAAAACTTAAATTTTGGTCACTTCTCGTCGTAGTTGTGTAGGATCGCCCAAAACATCACAGCTAACAGTTATGAGTAATTTTCCCAACTTATATCCAACTAGGAACGAAACGAACTACAACGCCCTAAGAAAGGACGGCAAAGAAATGTACAAAAAGCGTGATCCACGTACAGAGTTGTTGTTTTGCTAACTAAACCTATCACTTTTTGGTGTTGCCGTTGCCTTCACCGTCGTAGTTCCGTCAGGTCCCTAGTAATAGTTTACAAGGCCGAAAAACACCAGGCCCCGGTTGTTCAAACGTCGGATAGCGCTATCCACCGGATAAATCACTATCCAGCGGATAAGTATTACGGAAATCAATTACGCTATCCGCTGGATAGTGATTTATCCGGTGGATAGCGCTATCCGACGTTTGAACAACCGGGGCCAGAGGGAGCTAGAGGGTATACCGTATGACGGAGGTGACCGAAGGACTTGAAGACACATTGTTGAATTTCTATTTTATCCCTGGTTTTATTTTATTTTCTTCTGTCTCAAGCAATGAGGTATGGCTAATATACAATTACGAGTTTAAAACAAAACAAAAATAACTCCCGAATAAAATTGAACCACAACATTTATATGGGGGAGACTTAATCGTCAAACGCCATGTATGAGTAGATCTGAAATTTCTGAATAAGAAAAAAATATGTACGTGTTAATTCTTTGGGTCAAATAGAAATTGTTATCTCGAAAAACTCTTGAGTCAATAACTGAACCAAGACGAATCCTTTCTTTTATGTTTTTCACGTTTGACTTTTTTCTTACCTCACTGGTATCAACGCCCCCGGACAGTGACCACGTGGTGTGAAAGTAATCTTCAAGTCTATTGGCTAAATCCTGCTCGATCCTGTGTACCCGTATGAACTGTTTGATTTCGTTCGCGCGGGAATGGTACCGAACTCGATTGGCATAAAGCTTCTGAATAATGGCGGCGACATTTCCAAATATGGCAGCGTGCATTAGGGCTACATAAAGGTAAAAGAAAAAGGTTATTTGGTGTTTCTATAACGTTTTCTGAGAAATATACAAGAGAACTAGTTCATAGTGTAAATTTAGACAATAGGCCCTGTGTAGCTTGTCCATTTACGTGGTACACAACCGTCATGCTTGATAGCAAGGAAGCACAGGGACACAATTTGAAATTAGTAATTGCCTTTGTTTGTCTTCTCCCAGTGCGTTCCTTGCTCTTCAGCATGACGGTTTTGTGCTGAGATATACTTGTGATGGATACTTTTTATACACTTCATAAAACGGAATTTAGGTTTCTGGGAAACTGCCCACCTACCCCTCCCCTAAGTCATCATTAACACTTACTTCTCACTGAGGGCAAAATGTTGGGTTAGGGGAGGGGTAGGTGAGCAGTTTCCCAGAAACCTAAGCTGATCTGATAAAACCTGAGAAAAAGCCTTCGCTCTTACGAAATTAATCCCCTTTCCATGGATTAAACTAGGAATTCAGACAGGTTGTTAAGACAAGGAGCATGTTCAAAACTGACTTGAACCATTCAATAAAGTCGCACAAATGGAGTACAGATACACTAGAGGATAACAAACCTCCTATCAGCATAGTCACCACAGCAAACACCTTCTCACTATTTGTGTTTGCTGCAACATTGCCAAATCCGACGGTGGTCATACTGGTCAGCGTAAAATACAAGGCAGTGACGTAAGATGATCCCTCGTCGGGTCCAGACCCCAGTGTAAAGTTACCGTATGGTTTGTTGATTGCTTCGCCAAGTGCATAAAGCCAACTTACTGTTGACTTGTCACTGATTTCGGATAAACCAATCACATACCAGATACAGGCCAGCCAGTGAGCTACCATAGCAAACGCTATCATTAATAATGTGAGTAATATTGCACTGTATTCTGTGTAACGTTGAAGTTTCCGGACCACACGAAACAGACGAAGTAGCCGTCCACACTTGAGAAGCTGAATGAGAAATCCCTACAATGGAATCAAGTTAGAAAGTTGTGGTTAGAGAGAAGAAAGAAATAAAGCAAATTTCAGGAGCTAAACGATTTAAGGTCAGTCATTTTTCAAAGAGATTCTTTGCTTTATTTTTTGGCGTTGACAAACATCTGCTTACAAGAAATGACGTTTTAAGTTAGTACAGCGGACCATTGCCACTTTAAAGTTTCCCACAATACATTTTCATACCCTAAATTAAGTAAAGGTATTGCCTTTAGTTGCACATAGAACAATTGTGAATCCCCAGATAAATTAAAACAAATTCTTATTCCAAGGATTAAAAGCGGTCATTAAGGCTACATACTGATGTGATCAAGCTGTCATGTAGGAATTCATTGTTTGCTTTGTTTTTTTTTTACTGTGGTATTCACTGAGAGAAAATTAGCTTTAAAGCTAGTTAGCCAAGCGTTAGATGGAAGATTCGTAATTTATCGTCACTAACTTGTTTCTTTTGTGAAAATTCAAGGTTAAGAAGAAATCAGCAATTTTATTGTTATCAGCAAGGAGTGTGAGGGGGATAATTGCATTTGAAGAACAAATCCCAGTATAGTTTACCCTGCACACTCTCAGTATTAGTTAAGGAGACAGTAGAGGAAATGTATATTTTGCCTGTCACGCGGATGAACTCCCGCGTGTGACTAGAAACACGAGTCAAACAAAACCTCGTAAATCTCCAAGTAAAGCTCTAACGAGCAGCGTTTGGGACTGTATAAGAATTCAGATCTAGCTTGAGCTTGGTATTCTTTTCAGTTTATAATATGAGTAACCGTTCTTTAGAGGAAAAGGGTTCAAACTTATTCAGTTTAAAGCATATACAGCTAATTACATATAATTAAAGTACCTCGTTAAATGAAGAGCCTTTTCTATCAAATGTTGAGTTTGCCTGGATAACATAAAAAACGGAGAAAGCTATTAGGAACTAATCATTTAACAGGGAAATCTTTATTTCTAATAGAGTAAGATGGTTTTCCTAGCAAAAGGTCTGTAGGTTACGAATTTAACAAGGTAATTCCTTCATTTAGCTATTTTTTTTTGTTACCTAGGCCTGAAAATGAAGGTCAACCCGGTTGAATAATTAAACGATTTACAAAGAACCGAAAGTATGACGCGTTTGATAAACAGGTAGCCATTTTTTAAAATAAAAGGCACGTCAAACAGCGATTCGTCAAACACGTTACAAAAGCTACGAATTTAGGAATTACAGTCATTACCGTAGCGCTGAGTTGAGGACAATTTTATTTTGAATATCAATTTAAGTTATTTTAAATCTGCCGGTCTTAAAGCAAATAATATTAGTTATAATGACAATTATAATTGGATACAATTTCATTAATATGGGGAGGATTTTTATTCTTTCCAATTTTTTAAGGTGGTTTAACATTTAATGTTCTTGACTACCAGTAGTCTAAACGTAACGTACACTGCCCTACACCTACCCAAGATTGATTGAGAAAATACAAAGCTTCAAAAGGTAAGGCGGCCAAAAAGTCCAAAATGAACCATCCCTTGAGATAATGAATCGCTATCTTTCTTTGATCATAAATAATCCTTCCACTTGTATCCACAAAAGAAGTTCTAAAATGCACCACAATATCCATGATAAAAAACAACTCAATGACCATATCGAAGATAATAAGGTCCCTTTTTCGGTCGTTTCTCCTGAAGGCCACATTATAAGGGACCATGACTGCAATGTATGTCGTTAAGATGAGAATCCACCAATCCCAGAATCCTTTGGTGTTGCTGTAGTGAAGGAAGAGAAACTTGGATTTTTTGTCCGACTCTCGCTTGTATTGCGGAAGCCGTTCAGCATTAAAAGAGAAGGACTAAAAATAAGAATAGACAAATTAATATTCAAACACTCTAAATCCTTTGATATGCCATTCTGTGGGTTATTAGCTTATATTTTATTGAGAAATTCAGAACAACTCTCATAACAAAGGAAAGTAGAAGAAAAATAGAGCTTACACCAGTTTTATCCAAAGTAACAATTTTCATGGTGATAATTTTTCTTATTTATAATAATAGCCTTTTATTGCTATCAAAACCAAATACTAAAACCTGTTTACAATTAATTTCGTTTATATTAGTAATACAACCACTACTACTACTACCACTACTACATTAAATTAGTTCGTTTCAATTCCAATTTCACACAAGACCGTTATTTCATCACATGACTCAGTCTCTATTTTTTAATTAAAGTATCTACGAGTTCCGTTTAGCTTTTTTTTACTTACCCTGGCTCGTTTAATTGGTCTTCGTGGGTTGGTCTTATTTGTAGGAGTCGTGCTCTGTTGGTATTGTCTGGATAAATGAAGGAGAACATCGCGGCTGAATTTCCTGGAGCGAGACCGGCTCAGCTTTTGTTTTTCACCCACTGAGGCTGTTAGAAAAAACAAGAAAAAAAATAGCAATTATTCCACGAGTGCGCGTTGGATATGAGATGGTAGTGGGCCAACGAGGCGCGTAGCACCAAGTTGGCTATATAATCATCTCATATCCAGCAAGGGTGAAGCGCGAGTGGTCAATAACTGTTTTATTAAAAGCGCCTACAAAATATGGAGAATTCTTCCCGACTTTATTTACAAAAACAAACGAATTTTCAGGTTGTTTTTAATTTTGAGCAGACGCGTACAGTTTACCATATTTGGAGAGCTAAGCCAATCAGAACCCTAGAATTACATTATCCAATGATTCAATTTTTAAATTATAATGATCATTAGTTTGTGGTGCTTATGGTTATAAAATTGTAGTCAAGGTTAATTTCTATTTAAAAAAGTAGTTCTTAAAGGTGATGCTACACGGGACGATTAGCAACGACAATTTAAGCGCAACACAGCCTTGCAATGTTGGAACAATGTGTAATCATTCGAAACAATGTCGCAACAATGTTGCAAGGCCGTGTTGCGCTAAAAACCGTCGTTGCGAATCGTCTCGTGTAACATCACCTTAAAACACCTGGCCTCCGTTCACACTACATCTGACGAATTTTCGACCGGCTACAAGATATTTGACCGGACACGTCGTTCACACGGGACCTTCAAATATTTCGCTCTGTTCACACGGAACGTTGAACGGCTAAGCGTATAAATTTTCGTACGGTTAAGGTGATTCCGTTTGAACATAACACGGGAACGCACGAATTTTCAACCGGTAGAAAATTCGTCCGATGCCGTGTTAACGTAGCCTTAGTACGGACAACAGAAACCCATGCCAACTTTGGGAAGCTTCCCACCTACCCCTCCCCTAAGCCAACTTTTACCCTAAGTGAGAAGTAAGTGTTAAAGTTGGCTTAGGGGAGGGGTAGGTCGGCAGACTCCGAGAAACCTAAATTGATCCGGAGATTCTTGCATAGCGTAAAAATATGAAAGAGCTTACTTATGACAATGATACCCTATTTTAACGTCAATTGACAGAAGTAATGTTTAAAGTTAAGTTTAATGCAACTACCCCACCCTGGGGTGTTTCTTTAAGGAAGAATTTAAGTAAGGTGCTTGAGGTCGGCGGTAGACGCACAACTATCCCAATAGGCGCCAACGTTTTGATATCATAAAGTAGCCCTGTTTTCGAATTTCGCGTCTTATTTGTTCTAAAGAATCCGCCGAAGTTTTATTAAGAATCCTGAGTCACGCCTGGCCAAAGGAAAGAAATAAACAAATTAAAGATATTTATTGCAATTTTATAGATAGCATACCCACATCCTGTTCAGGAACCTCTCCACTGATTTTTCTTTTTGTGACGTCTTTGTGTGAAGCAAGAAACAGCACAACGTTCCCCTTTTCGTTCTTGATTGGAACAATATCTAATAAACACCAAAACGGAGATCCTACAAGAGAATTTAAGGTCGGAATAGTTATATACTTACATATTAAACAAAGACAACTACAAAAATAAAAACAACGACAACGACAAAATCAGCGGTACCAACGATTCTTCCAGAGTCCGAATGCTAGGTTAAGCAAGAATATACTTTGGCGCCCACAGTATCACCAAATTCAGTTATTAAACACTAATAAGTACCTTTCTGGTAGCAAAAAGTTTCAGTGAATTGACAGCTTGTTGATAATATATTTAACTTAAAATCTTAGCTTTGACGTAACATTGCTTCACTTATTCAAATTTCTGTCCTTTGACAGCGACGAATGCTCGGAGAGGCCTTCATAAATAGTTTGTCTTTGCGGCAAGTCAAAAGTGACGCAATCGGCCCGGTGGGGCATTTCTACGTGATGTACTTTAGACCCGTTTATCAATAGTTACTTTGTAGCATTTGTCATCTCTGTCTAAAGGCAAATTAAATTGCCTTTTCTGAATGGCTAAAACAGTAAATGCTTCATACATGTCTCCTTTCCTGTGATAAATAGCTATCGTAAGCATTGCACAATCCTGCACATTGGCTTTGACCTCGAACATTTTCCAGCTATAAATCTGTTTTCAGAAGTTCTGAGTCACACTTCTGCTTATGCCAAGTCATTCACTGTGAAAGGAGACCTCAGTCAAGCCTGCACTATATCCCCCATGCCTTCTTGGTGGAGTGTTAAAACGAACTTCGAGATGTTTGATTTGTGATGAAAGTCTAGATATTGGTCGAGTCTCCTCGACCAATCAAATGGTGGATGAGCGCTCTTTTATTTTTCAGGATTTTATAAAATGAGTGTTGAGTTTTTTACTAAATATATTTATAGCCAGTTCACTTTAGTCGTCGGCTTTTGTTTAAGCTTGTTTTTCAGTTTTTTTTTCCGTCGACAATATGTAGATTCACAACCAATAAAATTTTGTTTTCTCTGGTAAGCGAGTCTTTCCTCGGAGGGCATTTTTTTTGACAATTTTATTAGCTACCACGTTGGCCTTTAAATGGATCTGCTCCCCACCGTGAGGCATTTGCAGCGTTCTGAAAAAAAAAAAAGACAAAAGACAAATGGCCGACAAAATGCCAAGGGATATGGACACGCTTAGGCTTGGAATTGTCTAATATTTTAATTATTTCTGCTTGTGTAAAAATCCGATTTTCGTCTGCTCCTGATTGACTTAATTTTCCAAGACTGAAATCTGTGGCTGATCGAGCTCAAAGCAAAAGCGTGGGGACCTCAACAATTACCTTCGACGTTTTTTTTGTATTTCGTGAGAACTCAAGCTATGAAGGAGATGACGCGTGCACCGTCTTTGGATAGTTTAATTTACACATCTAGGATGCGACTTGTGGTACTGTCGATTGTTAATTCCGCTCAACTTTGAAGTACCCATTCTGCTCCTTAAGTCTGATTTCTTTCCTTTATATTTCTTTCCTTTGCTCTATATATGAATTGTGCTTTATTCACCATCGAATGATGCTTACTTTTAGTTTGTTCATTATGTAAATGGGTTATGTAACAAAAAAATTCAGTTGTTCAATATGCAGAACATTCAATGCAACTCTACTGCTTGTTGGATCACGATTGTTAACTTTCCCTAAAAACGAAAAAAAACTTTTCCTGCTTGTAAACTGGCAGCTATCGGCTACATTTTTTTAAGTTTGATCACCACACTGGATTCGACTCGTTTTGTAATTCCTCGTCTTTAGAAATTTTAGGCATGCATCGGCCTGCATAGTCAACAATAATTACCCTTCACTTTAACGCACATCGTTTCGTCCCATGTAAAGTATTAAGACGGAATCCACCGGGACATTAAGTATTTGCAGTGGACAAAAATCTTGTACCAGAATAATTTAAAGCATATTGCATTCATTTTTACATTTTTTAAGGGCTAAAGATGTAATAAGTTATCTGTAGTAACACCAAAACAAATTTCTTATGGGAGCCCGAGAAAATGAGTGTCAAATTTCACAAAGTTACATCTTACACATGAAATTTTCAGAAGTTTACCTGTGCCCCCCTCACAATTCTGGTGAAATTTGACATTCATTTTCTCTGACTTTCATGAGAAATTTTCTTTGGTGTTACTACGGATGATTTATTTCATCTTTAGCCCATGAAAAATGCAAAAAAGAATGCAATATTCCTTAAATTATTCTGGTACAAGGTTTTTGTCCCCTGAAAATTAAATTTACCTAGTTTCCTGCTAGATTCCGCCTTAATCAAATACAGTCTTGACTTCCAGATTCCACGCGGTGGATTCCGGATTCCAGGTATTGGAACTTCAACTTCAAGTGAGTCCCGGATTGAAATCTTTATAGGGATTCCGGATTCCTTGAACTGAAGTCCGGGTTTTAAAACCCACGATTCCAAATTTCCACAAGCAAACATTTCCCGGATTACGTAATCCGAGTTGTTATACAATAAGAACGCCCACAGGCTTTTCCGCTGATATTAATCAAAACTACGGGAGTTTTTCATTTGAAGAATACGTAAAGCTTCTACTTATTGGGTTATTAAAAACCCAAACTGATGTTGTAAGATGTAGTTTGTTGCTTGAGGTGGCTGTTAAGCTGTGTTTTATGGTGCATTACTTGTTTATTTGAAAATAGGAAACATTGCTTTAGGGTTAACGCGTACCATTTACTATGTTTTAATGAGCTCCCATAGCTCTATTGTTTCTAAGATGCGATAAGATGATTGCACAGTAAAGATTTCTTTTTCTGGAAGTTGTATTACTCTCGGACATATGACTAATTCCCCGCCCCGGAGATCAAAATAATGAATCTATTTACCTGTGGGGCTACATTTGTAAGATACCTTCGGGATTAATTTAGAAAAAACGATTAGTCTGAGCTTTTAGTCCCCTTGCCTTGTTAAACTGGGGCTATAACACGCTATTTATTTGCTATCTTTTTCAGTTTAAAAGAAAAGCTAAAACGTGTTATCGCATCAGTTGTATTCCTAAAATAATAGCGCTTCTTCGAAAAATACCATAATATTCTCAAATTGCTGTTTGGGTAGTGCAAATATCGTGTAAATATCACTTCTGCATTATCATTTGTGCACGATCTGCAGGTGCATTGCGCCCGTCTGTCGCAGATTTGCATTTTCAGTGTATTTGCGTGCAAAGGCAGTTTTGCTAACGTTCAACGTTGGCTAAAGCACAGTTTAGTTAGTACCTTTGTCTTTTTAATACGTTCAGGAGTTTGATAACGAGAGAAGAGAGTTGGAAGGACTCTTTAATCAGAGATAAAGCTATAAGTTCTAGTGCAAGTCTTCTATACGTACTCTGAATTCTATTATGTCATTGTAACAATTATGCATTACTATTGGATAGACATGGATTGAACTGAATTGAAAAAATTGAGCCAACTTCTTAGAAGTTTCTGATCATGTCTGCAAAAATCAGCGACAAAAACTTATTTTGGATCGCTCCTTGACGAAATTTGCTTGATATCTTCTTAATAACTCTACAGGAGCAATTAATGACGACGTCAGCACAGATTAGAATGTCCTCTGATATTATTCCCTTCTGGTCATCTGCGTACACTTTATATGTCACCGTACGAGAACCTTCTTGGTAATATTACAAAAATTAATCTATTTTTCAATGACGTAGCATATAAAACTTCAAAATAAATGAGAGACATTTTGGCGCAACTTTGGTGATGATGAAATAGTCGGACAATTAAGTGCCTTTCACGAAAACGCAATTCAGTTTAACTTCCTCTAGCTATTGGTATCATCACTATGTCTTTTGTGCTTCTCACTTTTCATAAAAAACATTACTTTTACGCTGTCCGTTTAAACAGATGCTTTGAAAAGTTGCCACTGTTGATGGAAATTATCTGTAAATGTGCACAATTTTAAATTAATGACCATCTGGCTCAGTGATCTACTGATTATTAGATAGCTCTCAGACTTCTAGAAAAGGGAAGATGTGCCTAGGCTCTGTTAATTATGCTCTAACTTGAGTCCTGGGATAGATTTTTAATACCGTGGTCATAATCAGTTGAAAGGTACAGAGCATTTCTGTCAAGTGGTACTATTTATTACACTGTAAAAGGTGCATCTAGTTAGTAATCGAGTCTTGGGACATAATCCTTAGGTGTGAGCATTAAAATCAGGACTTTTTTTCTCCGTCTCTATGACGCTGTTTATTATCGTGCTTTTCAAGGTGGCCAGCAACCAGTCTGTGAATAAAATCTTTAGGTGAAATCACTCAATTGAAAACTATCGAGCAGTATTTCTTGTGACCAGCCCTGATAATGGTGACTCCAATTTGCCAAGTTTGTCTGACTATCGTATATAATGATGTGGGGCCATTTTCAATAATGCTGAGCATTTATGAATTTCGAAAGCTCAATTACTTACGGAGAAGAAAATTTTGGTTGGATCGTTTTCCAAGTGTTCTAAGGGCTGACCAGAAAAAGAGTCACTTATGTTTGGCTTTATTTTCTACAAAAGCAGATTTATGTGGCTCATATTTATTTTTCGTTTCAGTGTTAGGCATATTGGTTGCAAGATGCTTTGAAGCAACTAGGTTTAAAATAGGTTAATGGTATCAATCACCTTCATCGCAAATGCTTTTTCACATTCAAACTCATTCTTAGTCCATTATTATCCCTTTTGTCAAAAAAGGTGGTCCTCACTTGACTTAAACCAACAATTTCAAATTCTAAAATCTGCGATCATTTTTCAATTAAACTAGCATCAGGTGCCGACAGCTGCTAATGGGATACTTACTTACATGTAAGCCTTTTCCGATTTTCCTTTTTCGGTATAGCTTTGTAACCGAATACGAGCAACTAGTACATGTAAATGTTCCAAACTGAATTAGTGGAGAGGATTTTATCGTCTATCTGGCTGGGAGTATTCTAAAAGTGTATGTGAACATCATTAAGCTTTTGTTGTTATTGGAAAAACGTAGAATTTTTTTTTATAAACGTGATGTGGGTTAATATCTTCAGTTCTATTTGAAAACTGATTGCTTTTTATGTGTTGTACAATTGTGCTTAAGACTCAATGTTATTTAAAAGTTAATGACCGTTAAAAGCCAAAAGGTTTTTAAAAGCTCAAACAAGCAATTAGTCATGTATGGTATAGCTGATTATAAGCTACTAAAGTCACTAAATCGTTTACTGTGGCTGTAGAAGAATCGCAGAAGTCATGGTTTTGAATGTCGTTTTTTGTTTCAGGTTTTGTTTTATAAAATTGCTTATACACATTTCTCTGGCAGTTTAAATCTGTGAAATTTTGTATATTCACTTTCAAAAAAGTAGAAATTGGTTGGTTTTAAACATTTCTGGAAAATTTTGAAATATCACTGAAAGATCTAAATAAACACTAAAATTGGAATGACCCGACAATGCGATGATATAGGATCACTATAGCTAAATAAATATATATTTTGAAACCATGTGTTTGAATAAGCAATAGATTATGCTATAGTCCGATCTGAAATTTCAACAACAACATTAATTTCTGCCGGATTTTATGCAAAAACAAAACGATAATTATTATCTTTTTTTCCTCTGCCTTATTCAGGTAAATTGAATCTTCTAATGCAACCGATTATCAAGTCTTAAACCCTTCCCTTACTAGGCGAGCATTAGAAAATGTCTTTCGTTTACATCATGTCAAAAGAACTTGAACTACTTGCAAAATAAGACATCACGTTTTTACCACATTCGACGCACGTATACGAAAAGTAAAATGTTAAATTAAAAATGTTCTAGACGTTTTAAAATCCTCGAAATATATTTCGCTCTTTCGTGCAATATACTTCGAAATATATATCGAAATATATTTCGAGGATTTTATAACTTCTAGAACATTTTTACTTTTACATTTCGTATACGTGCGTCGAATGTGGTAAAGACGTGATGTCTTATTTTGCAAGTAGTTCAAGTTATTCGAACACATTCCTAGTCTTGGCATCTACAATTTCTCAAAAAAATGTCAAAAGACAAATTAATAAAGAAATCACGCAGCGTGCATTGTTAGGATATATGATGAAAACCTCTCTGCGTCGCTTCCTGAATTTCTCCTCTGAAAAAAGTTTGTTTGAGAGGTTCCCTAGAAACAAATTACAAGAAAATTCACCCGAGATATGGTCTCTTCACATACAACCTTTTTCCTCAGTGTTTGACATGTGATGAAACACTACCTCTCGTGTTTGACATTGTACTTCCAGAGTGAGCAAATGTGGGATTTCTGCCGCCAATGTTTCAAATAGCCTCAAACCACTTTTTTTATTTTCTTTGATTAAAATGAAGTCAAATTATTTCTTAGGAACTTCTTAGTACACTTATTTGAGGTTTCTGGGAATTTTATAAGTAATGGGCCTTTTGCACAACTCAAACGGTCATATGATTCAAAAACACCTTGCTGGCCTGCAAACGACGCAGTAAACTCTTTAAAAGAAAGCTTATTAGCTTGTTGAATCATTTAATCTCTTTATTTTTCTTGTCCCTCTGCTTCGTTTGCCGTTCAACAAGGTGGTTTTCGTAGCTTTTAGTACCATTTGATCGTTTCCTGAAAAGCGTAATCTTACAATTACGTGGCTGGCTAGATGCACTTAGCTGGGCATAAGTATAACTATGACGTCATCGAAGCAAGGAAAAAACAACACGAAGAAGCAAGGAAGACCAAAACAGCAAAATTGAACTTATAATTTCAAGCGTCCAATTAGTAAATATCTTTTTATTACCTATTTTGTACCAGTTTGCAAGAAAGAGTTAATAGGCTTTGGAGAAAAAAAGGAACGTTATGTTGGCGAAACCGCGCAAACAACACATCGTTTATATGTTGCCCTCAAGACTATGTATTGAAAGTTTCTCAAGAATTAAGAAAAAGGTAAAGTCATTCTAACGAATACATGAAACTCAGAAAGAAAGGAATTAAAAAAACTTTTTTTTTACACAAAAATCTGTACTGTGTGGTATATTTTTTTTTTTTAAAATGTGTAAATGGGAAAAAAAAAAAAACAGAGATTTAAAAATAATTGGGTTTTTTTTTAAAAACCTTCCTTTGGGAAAGGGGGGGGGTGGTGGGGGGGGGGGGGGGAGTGGCGTTTTATGTGTAAATACTCAAGTTAGAGTAACCTTTTGCTAGACATTGACTTACTACAAACTTAACTGATTTTGAGAAAGTAACTGCAGAAGGTTGCTAAAGATGATGAGACAAATCGATCAAAGATCTACACTTTTATTGCAAAAATAATCGACCTGTTTTGCATGAAAACGAATTAAGATTACCAAGAGCATTGTTTGCTTTAATTTCATTGGTTCATGATATTGTAGGTAGGGTTTTTTGTTTAAAAATGGTTTAGTTGTATCTTTTCATCACAGTGTAGTTACGATGAATGTTATGTAACATTTAAAGCTTTCAACTTTTAAATGGAACTAACTATAAAAAGTAAGTGGTTTTATTAAAGACTTAAGACATTAAGACTTTGATCCTTGAGCCGCGGTCCTGACAACGTAACGTATTTCTCTATCTCGAGTTTAAATAGCGAGAAAATTAACCTTCGGACATAACTGGTGATACTCGATGAAACGGAATGCATCATATATAACCGAACTTGAGTCTAATTTTGCTTCTTCCTTTTTTACGAATAAAAAAATGTTAATATTTGTTCTATCATTTACGTGTATCTGGTGAAAGAAAGTTGTTTCAATAAACAGCTGAAAAAAGCTACAACTGGCGTATGTGCGCATGCAATGACCTGATACATACATTATCATAGGTGCGCTGCTAGTTGTTACCTAAGGATGTTTGGGTTTGTGTCATTTTAATATATATTATATAGTGCACAGTCATACATGAGCAGCAGTGCCGGTAATTTTCTTGTAATTGAAACTGCAAGATAGAAATGGAGGAGGGTTTTAATTCGTGCGTCTTCTAGAGACAATAATACTTTAGGCCAGTCTCCACCTTTTACTCAAAAAGAGGGGAAAAAATTATCTTGCCATTTTTAAAAGAAGGGTGTCCTATATATCTAACCAACACATTAAATATTCTGGAAGAACAGCTGAAAATATGAGACTAGGACTAGGAAAACAACACAAAAAAGAAATCTAACACAAAAGAGGTTAATGAAACGGATTAGAAAAGAAAAAGTTGAAAATTATGGCTCGAATTCTAGGATGAACAATCGAACGATGTAAAAGTTCTCCTGGAGAGCGGTGAATTATCTAGATATTTTCAGTATCACAATCACAGTGCAAACAGATCTCGAATATGTAAAGGAGTAATGCATATTAAAGCATCTTGCTTAGCTTGGTAGATGGGAAGCTTGATTGTAACTGAGATTAGTCTTAACTAATTTCCGCATCTCATAAAACAACTGCTAAAAGGATTCACACTTCTGTTTTGTGTATAAAGGTTATCACAGAGCAAAGATGAAGGAAAATAACTGTTTCTCACAAGGGAGAAATTAGTAACTTCCTTGCCTGGTTCTCTCCTTTGAGAGAGACCAACACTTAACCTCCCACGAAAATTGACTGTTTCATATCATATGCAACAGGCCACTAAACCCTGAAGGGCTCTTAATTCAAAATAACAGTTTTCCTAATTTTTATCCTTTTAAGAAATGCAAAATGCAAACGATCGGGGATAAAAAGAACATTTCGCAATGCATGAAATAACGTGTTATATCAATAATATATGGACTGACAATCACTTAGTTTAAATTGTCTCCCACGAGGTTAGAATTGGAATCAGAGACATCCACTCTCATTATATCAAAGAACATCTTTTCATCTCTTTTCGCAGATCGCTCCGAATTACTTCGTTCTGAATAAACATGTTTATATTAACACGAATGGAAAAAAAATTTCCGCCGCCGGGCGCGTGCACACAATTAAACTTTAAAACCTCGATTGCGACTAGCAACAATTTTCGCCCGGGTGCAAATTAGCAGGCTTGAGCTCTCGCGAAAGGTGCATTTCCGATATACAAACAATTTTCCTCCGTGGTTGTTGAAAAGCAGGCAAAACTGCATGCAAAAATATAATCTTATTCAACTCCATATGTTTTTAAGAACTTTTCTAGTTGATTAGTTCAAAATGTAATGGCGCATTCTGTGTCATTATTTATCACTTTTGAAAGAAACGTCTTAAGTGGCTGCAATAAAATAAGTGCGGCACATAAAAACGAACACTGAAAGAGAGTCATGAGCCGCGATTATACTGGTGTTTTAAGACAAAAGAATGGAATTAATTTCGCCTCTACACTTGTTTGTGCAAGCCATAGATACGAAGCTTCAAGTGTTGTAAAAACTTGTTCTTCAAATTGTAGATGTGTAGTTCAGCTATCTCGGCCAAGATTTTGCGTCGAATCATTTTATTGTTTCTGGGAAACGAAAAAGATGAAAGTATAACTGTCTTTTAGTGTGCAAGTTTCAATATGTTTCACTACTTATTGTTAGAATATTTGTACAAATAAGAAATTTTTGACTAAATGAGTTGTAGTTATTAGTCCATTTTAACTGCCACCGTACAAATTTTGCTTAACTTTTTACTTGCGCGCTAAAGAATTTGTATGGCTCTAAGCAAAGTGGCTCTCTTTTCTTTAAATAATGCACTTTTCGCACAATCGTCAGGTTTAACGCTTCATTCAAAAAAAAAAAACCTCCGGGAAAAATTGATTTAAATTAATTAAAATTTTTTCAAGGAACATTAAGGAAACCAAATTGACGTACGCGCCTTCATTTTCGAAAGCCTTCTTGTCTCTTAGTGATGTAGTGTCACTTTTGATAAGTCTGTCGGCTTTTTTGTTAAAGCTAAGCTTACAGAAGGCGTATCTGCATTATTGCTTATGTTGACCCAAGGCGCCAATTTTATATCAGTGTTTGTCAAGCTAGTGGCTGCTGAAACAAACGAACTTATAACGTAAATTACTCTGTCCGTCCTTTACAGATAATTGAAATACTCCTTTAAAAAAATCCCGGACTAGGCACGTCAGAGTGTTATTCTATTCTTAACATAAAAGTAGACAAGCTTTGGCGTGCATTAAATACCCATAGCGTTATCTCAGTTATGTTTTACTGGACCAGTCGCGGTTCTTTTTAATCTATTTTTTTGTTTCATTTTTTGTACTGCTTCTGAAACTGTGCCATGTTTTGCTCCAGAGCTTTTGACGATATTTGATGGGGCGTACATGCCATTTATTGACCAATAAATTCCCGTTTTTGTTTTCGTTAGACGACCAAGTTGGGAAACCAGTTCAGAACAAATAATTATGAATAAATTCCCTTAAAATGCAAAAATACCACAGTAGAATTAATGCTGATTTCCCCGAATTAGATATATTTTCTATGGATACTCGCTAGAGTAGCTCATTGGTAGTCACTGAACGATGAAAAATTGAACAAATTGGCTTCTGTGATGGCCGATAATACGAGATTTTTGTACAATATGTCAATGCGCTAAATACTCGGCAAACATTTAGGTTTTCGATGAACCATGCTTTCACGTTTACAGCTTGTTACTTGAACAAAAAATTTCTTTTCTAATAAGAAAAACCCATAGTGAATTTAGTTCGATTTAGATGTTTGTAAATTAAGGTAAAATAGGCTCGTGTCAGTGGCGTCTAAATGTCCATTTAGCTTGAGTTTTATAGCGTCTATAAATGAGATAGAGAGCGCTGCAGTGTACGTATGCGAATATCTTCGCAAATCTTCTACTGAGAGATCATCGGAAAAGCGTACATCTAATATCCGACATTATTCATCGATTTGTAACAAAAAATTACTCCGTTTAAGAGGCTAAACATTTCTCATTCGTTTTGCCCGATTTGAATATTGACCCAGGGCTTCAAAAACCAAATAACCCGTCAATATAAGACATTGTTTTGATATGATATTTATAGCCTTGGTTTTTTCGTCCCGTATCACCAAGCTTTTCCTGAGTGTAATGTAAAAAAGTATATATCACGCACAGAAAACGTTTCTCATTGTCTTTTTAAGAATAACACCTACATTTTAAAGATTTCTTTTAGCGCACTTTACTTGTTCGTGGTTATGACGTCGTAGTATTCACCGGACATACTATATTCACTATTAAACTGCGTTAAGGGTTTTGAGTTGGAAGTTGATATATCATAGCTAAAGGCGCTAATTTCTAGTGCTGTAGTTGATATGTGCAAGTAGGTCGATTTTACATCCTATTTGCTCTTTTTAACGAAGAAAAAGAAATAAAAAGAAATAAATAATAGTAATATCAAAGGAACTGCAGAGCTTCGGGGGGTATTTATTTAGTAATCTGTTTTAATAAGATGTATTCTTCGTACAATTTTCTCTCCAAGCTCTGACTTTAATATGCAGACTGCATAGCATCGACTTGTCAGACGAGAAAGCTTTTACGCCGCATCACTACCGAAAACAACACTTCCTTTTCAAAACATCGCTTACATGTTCTTTGAAACTACCTATAGAACTCATTGTTTAGGTAGGGAAATTGCTCAAAATTTGCGGCTTCCATATTGTCTTTATATTAAGCGTTCTTCGTCGGTCTGGCAGAGAGAGATGTATATGGCTCTCGTGAACATGTTTTGTAGTAGAAATGAAGTGCTACTAGGTATTAACAACGGGGCCAAAATCAGTGTAATTTATAGAAGACTAAATTTATTATGGTTCCGTATATTTTCTCCTTGAAAATTAATCCCTTAAAAACGAAAGACATTTCGTTAAACGATAATTACAGAGCAACTAACTTTTGTTTTGATATTTAAGGACTATATTTTATTTTCTGGGCAGACAAATTCAAAACAGGAGGTCACCTCTGATATTTTATGTTAATGAAGCGTTTGCTTCTCTCGATGGGTGAATTTATTCCTAGATATTTTAAACACGCACTCACACTGGGCGAATCACTGCGAAAAAGTAAGATCACCGAGTAAAAGCTTCGAGATTCAAAGTTAAATTAAACTTTTTTTATTCACCAGATCGAAATTGGCGAGGGTAAATATTCACCCAAGACTAAGAGAGGTTATAACTTTTTATGTAAATTTTCTTCGACTTGTTTTGTAATTGTTTGGTAGTATTACGCTTCTTGAATGCCCAAACTTAACTGGAGCGTCCGATAAAAAATAACTAAAAATCCCTTAAAAATGTGCAGGTGCCGTTTGAATTTCATCATCAAAGAGCAAGACAGAGTTATAGTAAATTTGTAAGAGGACTAGGAATTATAATAGTAAAATGAAGAAACCTACAACTTGAAAGTTAGTAATGATCCAGAGACTATATTTCAATGTAGCCGGATTATTAGGTATTAAATTAGATCGTCAAAAAAAATAATCCTCCAGAATACTAATGAAGATCTAGTGAACGTGATCAGCGCGAAGAAATATGCCTTGTTTCTTACCGTTTTTTTTGTAGAACATAATTTCCTTTTTAAGCTCAACCTGGGTTTTTAATGCCTTTTGGATACTCGCTATGTCGTCTTGCTTGGTCTCCAGCCCGTATAAGAAACTGCAGCCACAACTCCGGCGCATCAATTCGCTCCGGGAAAAACCAGTCAGCTCACAGAAGCCATCACTGCAGTAGACTATAGGGTAATTGTTCTTTTCCTGGGCGCTGCCAAGAACGAAGTTACTGTCTGAGGAGAGCCATGCGGGAAATTCTGAGTGTATTATTACTTAAATAACCAACTGGGCAATAAACGTTAGTTATCAACCAACCGTTCAATACTAGAAATGCATTTATTACTCGTGGCAGTCGGTTGTGTGCGCTAGGCGGCTGAATTTAAAGTAAGATAGCCATGCATGAAATACTAAGAATTATTACTTGTAATCAGCTGAGCAATAAGCACTTACGATGCAATGTCAAGTTAAGAAATTTTCAGTCGGTAAAACACATTATGCACCATAACATTACCGACTTGCTAGCGGTGTGTTACGAACACTATTACTCATTACTAACAGAATTATTATTGTTCTCAGTACAAATGGTTACTTACTTCCTCGGTCGAATTTTTGGGCAATCGTTTCCAGAAACGTGTTCTGCGGTGCAAAGCGTCCACGACGAATAGGCATGATGTGTCCTGTTCGGTTACTAACGTCTTCCTTAGGTCGAAGTAAATTGGCCTTAAGCGCAAAGCGCTGTCGAGAAGCGCAGTAATTCTTTTGAAGCTGGCATATTTTGAGTGGATTTAAGATACATTATATTTATGTCTCGTGTAAATACTCTTCGGTAGGCGAGAGGCGTTGAGCATATAAACAAACAGCAGGTTTTTCCTCAGTGTGTTGACTCCTTAAGTCCTTCCAAATTGGCACCTTACAGTTTCTCTGGTGGACCCTCTATAGTAGCTGTCAGCATGCTGCTTGCTCGCATCACAACATTACAAGCAAAAATACTTTCTTATGAGGCGCCTGGCTGAACTAAAATCAAAATCGCTTGTAATTGCCTCAAGAAACCAATCAAATTGAAGTAACTTAGTTCAGTTGTCAATCAAGCACGATCGATGGAACACCTGCCATTTGAAAGCGCGCGATTTAACTGCGAAGATTGAGTCAGGCTATAGACGTCAGAGGAGGATTGGGCAAAGCCGTAAGCCCCAGTAAATTCTTCTAAACGAACGTTCCACTTTTTAACTTGCAATACACTAATCCCAATGGCTGCTTACGACTCAAAGCCTCGTAATCCCCAAAGTATTCGATTATGAACTAAGATAAAAATGTTTTCCACGTACTTTCCGCATTGATGCTACTTTTTGGCATCATATTTTACTATCAATGAGAACACTGTTTTGGCTTTGAAAATCCCAGTTTTGGATCGATCTTTAATTGAAATTAGTGCAAACTCAAACCAATATGCTCGTACTTGCTAATTGAAACCATTTTCAGGTTCTGATGAAATTCAAAAAGATAATTTATTATTATATCACTAGCTTAACAAATTTGCATCAAGTTTTTCACCTTACCGACCTAACAAAACCTAATATTTCTATCTTCGCGTTGAAGAAAATAGAGAACAATGAGATTTGAATAATTGCTTAAAAATCCGTCAACGTAGGAAGGTTTGAACAGAAAATTTGTTTCTGAGCAACGAGCCTCGTGTTACTCGAGGAAGAATGTTTCATATTGTCAGTTAATGGCCCCTGTTGGAAGGCATGTTTCTAAGAACAAAAATCATAATAGCTTAGTCAAAAGAGTTGTTTAGAAAGTGGTACGAGACGATAAACTATTATGCTTTTTTTCTCAATAATCGATTATAGAGGGGAGAACTTGTGTTGTGCCCCATTGTAAGTCACAAAGTTAAACACGTCTTTGGCAGTCAATTTCCCGACATTGCACAGGTGAAGCTTTTACCCGCTTGGCGTCGATTAGGTGCCATTAAAAGAAAATAATAAAAAGATAATAATTAATATATAACTCTATCCATAATTTTCATCATTCGATGTTTAATTTAAATAAAGATTTTTTTGAAGAATTTTTCCTTCTGTTTAAAGACATATATACGAGGACATTCTCGGTTTCGAAGAAAAGAGCTGCACTTATATAGAAGTATAGTCCGTAAACTTTGATCAAAATTGAAGCGTTGTTTTCACTTATCACCCATGTGCCAAAAAGCAGCAGCTGAAAAAGCTTGACACAATCTCGTCATAACACCTTGCATTTATTTCGCGCTTCGTTTTCACAGCTTTTATTGGTTAAGCTATTTGTACCATGCACTTTCCAAGATTACCAAACTGCCAACAAGCATCAAATGTAATAACCTTGAACTTTTAATCATTCACACACTTTATTTACAACCGGAATTGGAGAGAATTAAAAGCCTTATTTTATGGAAGCGAAGTTAACACGTAAGAAAATTTTAATTAAACAAACTTATCCGAACACAATTTTTCTTAAATCTTAGTTGATGATGAAACTATCATGCTTTTTCCACTAAAAAACACAGTTTCCCTCTTTTCCTTTGCAGCCTCCTAACAGGAAGTTAATTTCAAAAGTTCGCGTGGCAAATGTTGTCTGCCTTTCTTTTACTGGCCAGCAAAACTTTGTAGCGTAGAAAAAAAGTGCTGGTAAATTTTGCACAGTTTTTTTCGAGATGAGAGTTGTTGGTAATTGCTTATTCGCAGCTCTCAGAGTTCTTTCATACTAAACACAAGTAAAAAATGCTCCTTGCAAATTTAGTGTTTAATTTTTCGCGTTCCGCATGCCGACGACCTTCAGTTTTTGGTGCCGGAATAAGTGCATTGTTTTCCTTGGCGGCGGTTTTTCTTTTGGCTGTGCCAAAAATTTAATATTGCACTATGCCGTTTCATTTTAAGTTCTAATATCGTTTATAAAATGAGTTGTGATAATGGTTGTTTTAAGTTTCAGTTTGATGGTATACATGGTTGCCAAAGGAAGAAAGCCAAGTGGCACAGGACAGGTTGAAGGGTCCAATTTGACCGCTTTAATCTCAGATAACGGTAATTCATTTCTCCAGGGACAAAATTTGAAATTTTTTGATGATAAATCTTCCATTATGAAAGCCATACGTTTTTTTTTACAAACGATGAACCAACAGAAAACACGAAATGTCACCATGAAGTTAAATTACACACTTTCTAACCGCAGAATATTGCCCGCTTTAATCTTTATGGTGCACTTGCTTTCTCTTCCTAAAAAAATATATGGCTGTCAGTGCTGTTGAAGACAACATATAAGTCGCAATTTATATTTCCTTAAACTTTATTGCGTGTCCTCCCATGCGTCTCTTGGTAATACATTTGCTTGTATAAATAAAAATACAGCTAGATTACCAAGGTTGACGAAAATTTGATATGGTGTAATTATTAGACAATTTTTGTTTGCTTACAGACTCGGAAAACAAAAACGCAAGCAAGATTGGGACTTTTTTAATGGAAATTTTGTGCTATTCGGGAAATTTTTAAGTTAATTACATGGGAAAGAAGAATGAAAAAATCAAATATATTTTAGAAAATGGAAGAATTTTTCAAAATATATTCAATGGCTTTTGTCCATAAGTTATTTCCTTTGTTCTGTAAGGAGGAAGCTTTACAGTCTGGCGTATTGTCTAAATTTCTCACGTTTCTTTTATGGAAATAAAGACAAAAAAACGCATCTGGATCGGTTAACGTACTGTTCCTTGAAATGCGTTTAGTAAAAACAGTAATCTTTTCTTTTATCTTGTCGTGACGCCCAACGCAAAACAGTAAAATATAGTTTTCCATTTAGCTGCCAGTCAGGTGAATTATAATTGATCATTTTTAGGCCAAAAGTAAACATAATGGCAAATTTGAGCATAGTCATTGTTTAACTTAGGAAGCTTTCAGAAATCGAATTTTCTGTCTTTTGTTTCAATTACGCACCAGTTTTGATCGTTTTAAGCCTTCATTACGTCATTAGCGGAAGTGCTTGTTTCAAATTATAACTCCCATAGCAGTCACGAAAGGCAGCCATGTTTGAATATTATGCCAGCTTAGTTTTCAACATGAAACGTTATTCCTGCACGCAATCCTTTTTTCATTCACCAGACTTGTTTGAACCGCCTCAGAATGGTATTCGGCAATCCTTTACGGTAAAATTAAAAACATAATTTATAACAGGGTGTGGAATAAGTACAAAATCACTGTTCATAATAAATTCAATAATCTTTTTTTTGCTGAAGTGAATAAGTCTTTTTAAACTTTAAATGCGAGACAGAGCCAAGTGGCTAAGGAGGCTTGATAAAACACTAAAGCCTTGTTTTGACAAGTGCCGCAAACATAAGGGTGATTATTTCTCCTTCAAAAAGGCCTGCACGCAAACATAAGAACCAGGGAGTAAATTGCGTGCGGGTTTTGCCGTATGAGAACGAAACGCAACATAATCACAAGGCGATCGCCAATTTAATCACTAGTATAAATTTCCTCATATGAAATCGGTTTCATGGCATTTCCTTATACAATATGATAAAAGAAGCCCCTAAAACTTCGACTGTTAAGTTAGGTGAAATGTTTAATCTGCTGCGAACAAGACCAAATGCTTAAGACTTTCGCTTTCCCTGTGCCGGAAATTTTACAATGATTTAGTTTTATATGTGTTTCTTCCCACCTGCAAAATTAACTACACATCGCCAAAATTATTGAATGACAAAGTTCTTGTTTCAATAAAGTATAGGAAAAAAAATACAGAATCTTACAATCAACAAAGTCTGACTAGCGCTTTAAAGAAACAGCTAGACATAAAAATTGTATGTGGCTCGAGCGGGTACATGGAATGAAAAAAATCCTACTCTTTCTTCACTGCTTGCAGCCACGGCTTTGTGAACAAGGTTTTCGTAAGCTGGCTACAAAAGTCTAAACTAAGAGTTTGCTTTTTCCCTAACCACTTTTTCTTTCAAAATTTTATCAAAAAGGTTTTTGGTGCTTGTTCCTTTGCTTGCGTCACCAATGTTTTTATTTCTCTGTATTTTCTTCACACACTTTTACTGAGTATTTTTCAACCCAATTTTGTATTAGCGTAAAGTAGTATAGTAGGGATATTTAAGACCACCTTTTTAAATGGACCCTCTGTTTTTTGTTGACGAACAATTAGGCGCAAACTCGCGTTTCACTTGAAATAAATGAATCGACGCGTAATCACGCTACTTTAATTTCCTGTCGGATTTATTATTCATTAATAATAATAATAATAATAATAATAATAATAATAATATCATAATAATGATGATAATACTAATACTTCTTACCTGTCCTCCTTCACCTCCTCATTTGTTTTTCCTTCTACTCATCATCGAATTCAATTTCATTGTTTTTCAGCTTCCTCCTTTTTCGAGAGTCCCCAAAATTTCCTTCGTTATTTGTCATTTCATTATAATGTTGCTGAGTAATGAAATTGGTGAATTCCTTACCGTAATATGAAGGGTTATAGTCATTTTTTCTGGTAGCTCCGCTTTTGGGCCGGTTTACATATTTGCCTAATTTGTTAACACTATAGACTACACGAAGCAAAAGTGATTTTACGATTAAGGAAAACTGTATTTGAATATATCAGTACGTCACAAGATACAGCCTATTATGACCAACTTTTCATTAGTAAATTACAGAAACCTGTTCGAAAGACAAGAAAGTTGCAATTTTATTCAAAAACGGTGGGTGCAAGGCTGATAAGCCTAAGTGATATGGCGAAAGTTTAACTTGTAAAATACTAAAATATTTCGTTTTCGAAACTTTTCCAAATAAAGATAAAATCACACGCGGAAGGTTCAATTGCACAACTATGACATTNACACGAAGCAAAAGTGATTTTACGATTAAGGAAAACTGTATTTGAATATATCAGTACGTCACAAGATACAGCCTATTATGACCAACTTTTCATTAGTAAATTACAGAAACCTGTTCGAAAGAC